GCTGGTATCAGTCACAGATCCAGTTCAACTGCTAATTTACCTCCCTGGGGAAAGCCCCTTGACTTCAGGGGAAATATGATCTGGCTTCAGATGTGGATAAGGGCATGAGATGAGAATAAACAAAATCACCAGTTGCCAAAAAAACAACCAACCAAAAAACAACAGAGAGCAAACATGAGGCATCCCATGTCTACACTGTCTTGACCCATGGAAAAAGCAAACAGCACACTAATAAAAGGTGCTCTGTTAACAGTGGCTGTATGTAATTAGGAAAGGCATTCAGCTTCTGTTTTCAGCATGTAATTTTTAATTGATTTTGCTGAAAGAAACCTTAGTGTTGTTTCAGTTAATAGGAGTCTTTCCAGCAAAACTGGTCTCTGTAAAAGGCTTATGTAAAGCTTCCTTCAAGTGTCACAGGCTTATTGTTTGAATTGGCAGGGAATTAACCTGTTGCAAAAAGCCCATCCCCTATAAAAGCCAACAGTCATGAGACACACAGCTGCAGAACTGATGGGTCTCCTCCACTAAGGAAAGGTGATGATTTCAGAGACCTGGCCAGTATACAGCAAAATTTCCAGATCCCAGAGGAGAAGGAGCTTTTCCCTGTCATAAGGAGTACCACATAGACAAAGGAGATGCTTTCAGATAACACACAGAAAAATAAACACTTCCTGTTAATATGCCTATCTTATTTTCCCCAAGAGCTACTGTTCAGCCCCTAGGCCAGATCAAGTTCTTAACTGGATAACTGTATAATTATCTTTTGCCTTCCAAAGGGAGCAGGCATCCTATTAAACCCCACCAAGTTACAGGACCTACTTAATGGTAGTTGGTGCCACATCAGAGCACAGGGACTCTGTGCACACCATCCCACATCCAGAGCTGTGATGGGGCACAGGCAGATACTGAACATCTCTAGAAGGGTCACTTGCATTAGAAATACCAACATAGACACAAAGGCAGCAGAATGAGCTAACTAGCACAAACCCTCAGGATAAAAATAAGGTTCTTCAGCCAGCCAATAACCAGTCCTTCTTCCAGGCTCTCCAGCCTTGCCTTTTAGCTTCTCTGGCTCCCCATCAGCTACATTACCTACATGCTACACTGTCTATAGCCTTAAGGATGTATATACCACTGTGCTGTGCTGGGCCATGTAGGTGTCTCTACTATCCAACTCCATACCTCAGGCTGGCAAAACCAGCACTAAAGTCCAGGCTGCAAAGGTGACACTGCCTCTGCTTCCAGATCTAGTTCAGGTATGTCACCATGTACTGCGTGCTGTATCACCTCTGCAATTCAGCAGAGACATGTTCTGAACAGTGACCAGCTCAGCCCGTGCATCCTACCAGTGAGACAGACATTTGCAGAGAGAAAGGTTTGTCATAAAGATTAAGGCCATGTCACTAGGTTGGGCTGACTGCTCTGTGTTGCCTGTAAAAAGGCCATTATCTTACTGTTGACAAACCCCTAAGCCCCCTCCTCACAAAAATCCCAACCCCACAACAACCAAGTTTAAGCAAACATTTGCATTTGCCTTCAGTACACAGGCATGATGCCTCTATTGAAGGACACCATGTAGGTGACCTTGGTAAGTAGAGCCATCCACTAGCAAAGCTGTACATCAGGTTATACAAAGGTCTGAATTTGAGGGCAGCAGGGCAGACCAGCTGTTCTTTCAGTAATGCTGCATGGGAGGAAACGTCCTGCTTCTAAAATAAACCTTTATAATCATTCAATCTTTTTGCTTTTAGCAGACTGTGAGTAGACTGAGCTTACTTGCATTGAGTAAGCCACTGTGCAACCTACTTCTGCTCAGATATGCATGCTGCTTTGTTTTGTTTCTGGCACACACAGAAGCCAAAATATGCTTCCCCTACCCTGGGAACTGCTGAACTGGAAAGTCAAAAAGAGCTGCCTCAAGTAAAACAGCACATACTGTCTTTAGATAAAAATGACAAACCAACCTACCTACCTTCAACAGAACCCAGCACACTATTTTCCTTTAGGAGTGAGCTTAAAGAAAGCAGCAGTGCTCAAATATTGCCCTGTGAGTAAATATTTTATCTACAGTAGCCTTGATTATTACCTGTACAATACACTGTGATGTAACATGTTGAAAAACTTGCTTTCATGTCTGGATGCATTCTCCTGTTTGATGGGATAAGGAACTACACTCCACTTGTTTGACTTTTTTCAGGAAGCAACTATAAATAGGTGCTGCTAAGCTGACAGCTAAACCTCAGCTTAGGGCAAGACAGAGATGTTTTCTTGATAAGGCAGAAAGCCATCTCATCTTGCAGTGTTGCAAATGAAGAAGAGACAATTAAGGTCTGTGAAAGTGAAAGCTCTCTTTTAAAAAAAGCCAAATACATATATGTATGTTTATGGGACTCCTATTCTGGCCGTGGCTTAGTAACAAAAAAGGAATTTCCTCAAAATGCAGAGCAAAGTCACTGAAAATTTCAGTTGAATCATGAAAACCATCCTGTGAGAGCTCCAATCCAGCAGTAAGCCTAGTTTTAACATCAAAAATACTAGGAGAACACTCATTGTGATGGTAAGATCAGACTCTCTCCTAAACTGCTTAATCTTGAAGGGGGCAAGGAAAAATACACTATTACTGTATTTAAGTTTAGTCTAGAAGAAAACCAACTGACCCAGGGTATCCTAGGCCAGCAGCTCTCTTCCTCCACTGACCCTAGGAATACAAAAAAGAGACACCTTGAATGGCTAGTACTAAAATGCTTTCTGGTCAGGCTTTTCCTGGCGTCTCTCCCCACTGCTCCCAGCTTCCTAAACAAGCACTCGCTTTCTGATCATAAAATCTCCAAACTCTCTTACACAAGTGCAGTGATTCCCTTCTGAGTATCCCCTTCCATCCTGCTGACTCCCTCCAAGACCCCAGTGCCCATGACATGAGAGAAGCAAGCTCAGCTCAGTACAGCCACAGCCAGCAGCTCCCTCCTCTTACATCTTCCAGAACAGCCACCCCAACTCATTTTAAGAAACCAGGTCATCCCTCTGCAAATCTGCCCTATGCAGCTGAAGCTACCTGAGTCCACAGCTTCACCAGTTTCTCACCATGATCAAAGCCTGTGCAGTTGTTCAAGGAGCTTTTCAATTACTCCTCCAGTTTCTATGATGAATTACAGCAGCACTTGAGGAGTGCCAAAACCCAGAGGGATCAGTTACTCCTGCCCTGTGACAGGCAGCAGGCTGTGGGGGACAGGACAAGCTGTAAGCACTGTGGCATTACATTATGCACAGACACAGTTTTGCTGCTGGATGATTGACAATAACTACTGGATGTCACTATTTTAAGGATAATGTCATTTGTGTAATTATCTGGCAGGGTCTCTCCTCAGCGGCTGGCATTATTCACAGGGAAGAATTAGACTGAAATCCAGCTGTAGAGTAAGTAGATTTGCTATTCTATGCAGACAATCACTGTGCTTCAGGAGCTTGATACATATGGTATATATCACCAGCAATTTTCATGCTCTCAGGGCTCAGAGAATATTAAAATGACACTCCTTCTACGTTTCACTGAGCCACATATATCGCATGATTTCATACTTAAAAATAATTTACTATTCTCTGTCCACACCTGACCATCTGTTTCTTACTGGAACTCAAGCTAGGAAGAGACAGAGAAGCTGCTTTTTCTTGATTGATCCTATCATCTCTCCATCAGACAGGAAAATGCCCCCACAGAGCTCCCAGCCCTTTGGCCACTTTAGCCCTCAGATATTCTGGTTTCAGTGTGTTCAGACCTGGGTTTATCTGTCGTGGGAGGATGCACCACTAAACACAGGACTAGCATCAGCTGGGTTAAACCATGCAAAGCCCCAAACCAGACAGAATTTGGTCCAGCCCAAAGTCTGAAATGGTACCAACAGAGCCTGACAAAGATTGGAACTGGTCCCATCCTGGACCAAGTTTTGGGTCCCAGCTGTACAACTGTAACCAAGCAGCAAAAATGAAAGACTTAACATTATTCTTTGCTGTGCTGGCATGCCACAGCAGGGCTACAGCAGATCATACTCAAATATGCATGCTTTACTGCTGGATTCCAGCTAACAGTATTCCAAAGTAAACAACTGTCTGTTCCTCCTTTCCAGTGCTCTGGGCAAGAGGATGTGAGACATACTCTGCAAAGCATGTCAGAAAGAAACCTTTTTGTACAACCAGACTGCCTCAGTGCTGACACCTTCCTGCTCCATCTGTCCTCTTCCACCCCTGAAGAGGTCTTGCCCTGCCCCTGAGGCATATGGGAGGATGCTGGTCAAATGGACATCCTGGCCAGGGAGGGCTCTGCACAGCACACTGGCTCTGATCCATGCTGGCTGCTCTATGCCTTTATGCTTGAGCTGACAGGCAAGCACTCCAGCAGTACAGAAGGGAAAAAATATAGCCAAATTGTCCCCCTGAGTACAGAGTAATGACAAATAACAAAAGAGAGCTATGTATGGGAAGTAGTTTCCTGAGCACAGCCTTGAGAGCTGGAGCAGAGGCTGAGCAGGGAGGCAACAATGCTCCAATCCTGTTGCAAACATGGATAGGAAGGGAAATCTCCTGATGTAGGATCATGGCAGGAATGAAAAGACTTTTAGTGGCTGAGATGAGTAACACTGAATAGTTATGTCAGATAGAAACAGTCTGAACACAAGTCTGTAGCTACTACAGGGAAACAGAAGCTTTGGTGTAACCAGCATGTCATAGCCTTACAACAACATGGCACACAGTGGCAAAAGCAACAAATCCTTACATTCACCTCCCAGAAAATCTAGTAAGGTTTCATTTAATGCCTGCCCAGAAATTTCACTCCTTCCTGGAAAGTGGTGCACCTTGACCAGCATGCAAGGGGGATGTGGAGGTATTGTTATCCCAGCTGATAACTTATTTCTGGTGGGCAGCAAGTGACAGTTATTCAAGCAGAAAACTTGAGCTACCTCAGCCACTGGGTTCAGACAAAGAGAAGGACTGAATGCAGAGCTCACCGATAAATGATGCCTCTTTCATGGAGAAACATAAGGGCTGAAATAATTTCTGCAGCGTAGAACCTGGCCCGGTCTTCATCGAAGCGACGTGACTTCTGGATGTGGAACATCAAGTCCCCTCCATTCACGAACTCCATCACAAAGAACAGGCGATCCTACACACACACAAACACAGCAGACATGAACAGCATTAATCATATCCTCCCTCAGGCTTAGAAAACTCTTCAGTAAAACTTAGCTCCCAAACAAAACCAGATTGAGTACCCGTGAGACAGTATGTGTGGGGAGGAATGTTGATTTTTTTCAGGGAAAATTAAGTTAATACCAGGAGGATCTGTTAGTACCTTCCTGCCCTGCACGTCTTCCAGAAGTTTTAACGCAAGTCATGAAATGAATTCCCATTCACATGTGGATTGGGCATATCAGTAGGTGTGTGCTCATCACTAACCAGCTCCCACTGGGTTTCTCTGAACTACCCTTAGCCTGAATCAGCAGGGAAGGATTCCTCTTCACCAGCACTCTCTGAGCTGAGTGACACAAGAGAAATCTATAAAATCTCACTCACTCCCTAGTAAACACCTCAGATCTCTGGGGAAAGATGTTCCATAATACAATGTGCATAACCATATTGCAACTTTGCCGCAACAGCACAACATTGTCTTGAGGATATCCCAACACTATTTCTGGAGAATGTGTGTTGTTTTCCAGAATGGGATTTCCTGCCATACACTGGCATGGCAGCTGCTTTCTGGGCCCTCAGATTCCAGCTTTCCTCTTATTAACCTGCAGAGACCTCTGGGCAATGGAGGAACTGATAAGGATAAAGTACAATTCAAAGTTTCTGCTGGGCAGAACAGCATCCTGTTGATAAAGTTCAGCTCATGAACCACAGCTGCTGGTCTCTGAGGGTTCTTTTCTGGCTTTTTCAAAAGTCTACAGACAGGGAGGCACTTGCTTAAGCTGCATCCACAACAGTGAGTAGGGGTTTAGTATGTGCAGAAGGAGGGCTCACTTGATTGTGAGAGAAGGAACACAGTGATTTGTCATAAAACTAAACACTAGAATTGTTGCTGTCTGGTTCAAAAATTTCTCTTAATAATTGTTTCAGGACATTTAGTATTTATTGCTTCAGTTTTACTACAAATATCAGGAAAAAGCAGATTTGAAAATGGGCACATAATTCAACTGAGACCAGTCAGGCTTTTAATGGTAATATTTGCCCTCCTTTCCCCACAAGTCCCTTCCCAGGTCTGATGTTAATCATGTACAAGCTAGTTTTAAACCCTCTCTAGGTTTAAGAGGATAAGCATTGTCGTGCTCTGCTTTCTGGCAGCCAGCCAGCTTGCAATGACTACTGGTATTAATATCTTGAGATGCAGACTGCAGAAGAAAAGCAACCAGAAATCCTCTCATTCCTCAATGGACACAAGCAGGAAAGCAAACAGCTCGTGACAGATGAGGACAGTTTGTTTCTCACTGCCAGCCTGGGCTCTGCCCAACATCTCCTTCGGGGCTCCTTCCAGAATGGGTAAGATCATTAAATCATAGAATCACTTGGGTTGGAAAAGACCTTTAAGGATCATTAACCACTAACCCAACACTGCCCAACCCACCACTAAACCATGTCCCTAAGTGCCACATCTACACATCTTTTAAATATCTGCAGGGATGGTGACTCCATCACTGCCCTGGGCAGCCTGTTCCAAAGCTTGACAACGCTTTCCATGAAAAACATTTCCTAATATCCAATCTAAACCTCTCCTGACACAACTTCAGGCCAATTACTCTTGTCCTATTGCTTGTTACTTGGGAGAAGAGGCTGATCACCTCCTGCCTACAACCTCCTTTCATGTAGTTATAAAGAGGGATAAAGTGTCCCCTGAGCCTCCTCTTCTCCAGGCTGAGCCCCCCCCCCAGCTTCCTCAGCTGCTCCTCATAGGACCTGTGCTCCAGACCATAGCCCTTCCCTGGACATGCTCCAGGACCTCAATGTCTTTCTTGCAGTCAAAGGCCCAAAACTGAACACAGGACTTGAGGTGCAGCCTCACCATTGCCCCCAGCAATCTCACACTGCTGTGTGCAGCACCAAGGCCACATGTTAAGTGCTACCTCCCATCCACATAAACAACACCACTTCATTGTTTCACTCTGCCTTTATCACAGGGCACTGAAAGATGCCTGAGCTGCCTTGTCTATGGTAGCACTCTGAGCCAGAGCAGCACGAACTGTGCAAACCCACCAGCACCCTTGGCTTTTCAGCCCACATCAGACCTCTAATGCCACATCTTTGCTGCTGCTGGTTAAACTCAACCTGGCTGTGCTGTGCCTACCTGTTTGGCAGCCCTTCCTCCAGCTGCAGCACAGGTATTGCCTCTGCCCTGCCAGTTGGGCCAGCTTTTACATCTCCTTGCTATTCCTTCCCACCTCCTTCCTGGCTGATCTCTCCACATGACACATGCTTATCTAGCCCAGCTTGTCCAGGCATCTCCTCAAGCCCATACTTAAAACAGAAATCCCTCTTGCCAGATCTCCAACAGGAAGCAATTTAATTTACCAGCAGCCTGACGAGGGATGGCGTGTGTGTGTATTTATGTAAGTAATACATATGCTTGTATAAACATGCATACAGTAAGGTGAACACACATGGATTTTCTACCCTTTCCTTAAAGGTGAGCTTCAGGGAAAGAAACCTAACTCTGTATAACTTAAAACACACATGTCCTGCTCTCCCATGCAGGTAAAAATCCACAGCCAGTCTCAGACTTCTGATTGTACATGTTTCTACTGTGATGCTTAAAGGAAGGCACTACTTCTTTCTCCTATGTTCAGATGAGCACCAGAACAGCTGATCTTAAAATTCACATCACTGCTGTCATGAAATTAGCAGCTTTTTGCTAAAAACTGCTCTTGCTTCAGACTAACTGCAAACCTGAGCAGTGTTATACAGTCACCTCCACTCATGGGCCTGTCTGACAAGCCAAGCAAAAATACTGAACTTTGGCCTACCCAATTTTTTATGCCTTTTTTTTTTTTTTTAAAGAGTTCCACCTAATTGTCTGTCCAGTTTTCTAACACTTAGAAGTCCCATGGGGCTGCTAAAGAAAACAGCAGGATGGGTATTACAACTGGTTTATAATGCAGCATTTGTGCATTGGCTTGTTACATGCCTGACAAAAGGCATAGGGAAAATCAGCACTAATGACCATCCTTTGGGGAACAGCATCTAAAAGCCAGGCAAGGCCTTCAATTTTTACTCTTAAGCAAGACCATCAGCTTAACAAACTACAGAGACCAACCACTCTCCCAGGAATCATTGAGAGATAAAATTAACAGTGGTATTTTATTTTCAAAAAAAGGAGGGGGGAAAAAAGAGGGGGGAAAGGAAAAGAAAAGAGGGGGAA